CACAGAGATTTTTGTCGTAATTTATTGATCAAATACAAACACATATTGTATGACACCATCAAAGATATTAATGACGCTCCTTTGCCTTCTATAATGGAAACAATCGATAACTCACCTATGTTTTCGACTAATTTGAATACTACTCTTTCCAAAAATCACCCACTTTATTTGTTAATACACCATTTAACTCCAAAAGACCTATCTTGTATATTTATAAATTTTGTGCGAAAGAAAAAGCTCGTTATCAGGCTTTTCACTCTTTCATGAACTGTATCACATCAGAGATAGATACTCATATATGGAATAATAGACGCCAACATTTCAAAGAATGGGAAAAACTATTGGGATCTCCATGAGGAAAAAGAAAACTTACCGCAAGCGATACTCCCAGCACGTCCCTATTCAGAGTGGATCTGATGGTTCTGCTCCTCAAGTAAAAACAAGGCTGTTCGCCACGCTAACGTTAACCACCATCCTCCATCTCTCCCGTACGACCGTTTGGGGGTACTACACGACCCTATCATGGGAATCCCATAAGGATAACTTTTTTTTCGATAATATAAATTTATTTTCTTTTTTAATTATTCTATTTTAATCACGAGACCCATCATTTAGATAGTTTAATTTTTATGTCACTCCTATTGTATAATCTTTCCCGGCTTTAGGCTGACTAGTTCCGCAGGCTGCTCCCGTTTCTCTTCATCTTCAAGACCAGGTATAAAAATAAAAATAAAATATTTTTATTTGTGAAACTAGTTTTATTACTTTCGTAACGTGAAATGTTAAGTTTTAATAATTAATAAATTATTTTTTTTTAAGACAAAAGCTTAACTACTATTAAGCAAAGAAGCTGGAGAATTTAATGGTATGTTTTGAATTTAAATGAAATACTGTATATATTTATTATATTTTTAACTGACTATTATTTTTATAGGTACGATTCCGGTTTTGGATTAAATCTCATTTTCGTGATCCTCGATCTCAAATTCCAATTTATGAAGAATTTTCTTACGACGTGGTTACTAAAAAATTATAACCGATCATCGGCTCATAGCCAATGAACGTTATTGTTCCATGGTACAAAAATTAGTTGTAATAATCCTCAACGATTTATTGGGAATAATAATTTTTGTTTATTTAGTTGTGGTATGTGTGGTATAATACAAAATGGTAATCAAGGAAAATATAGTAGATTTAACGGAAGTAAGTACTGATCTTTTTTAAATAGAGAGAGTGGAATTGAAAGTCTTTTTTAGAAAAAAATTAATTATTATTTATTATTTTTTATTTTAGGAATGTGGTTTGCTAATAATTCTGCCATATCATTGGGTTATTGTGGTTTATCAACTTTTAGAACTATGTTTAATTGTACTCCTTTTTCTTCTAAAAATTCTTACTCATCTGTATATAGAATGATTTAGCCATAATTAGTAAGTCTTTTTAAGTATAAAATAAA